AAAAAAAAAAGGGGGAGGAAATGACATTAATTATCTGTAAAACAGTATGAAATAAAATGAAGTTAAGGCTTATAAAACCACTTTTTAAAAGATCACTTAAATTTTAAAATTCACCTATTTTGGCTACTCAATCATATTAAATTTATAATCTCCAATCACAACATTAATACATTATTTATTACCTCCCTACCCTTCTTGGAATTTCCTTTGAGGATTTTTCTGACATAAAATAAACATAAATAGTAGATATTATATTAAAAAATATAAAAAAGTTTCACTTTAGCATGCATCCTTTTGAAATAAAAATGCAATTCTATACATATTCTTCTAAGTGGAAATCTTGGGTGCCTTCTAAAGCTAGGTCCTAGGCAAGGAACCTGATATTTTCAAAATTAAGTGAAGACAGTGTTTGGACAGAGAACTGTGGTTTTCAAACTTTTGGTAGCAGAGTACCATCAATATAGAAATCTCACTGGGTGTAGTGGTACATGCCTAGGGTCTCAGCTACTCAGGAGGCCCAGGTGGGAGGATCACTTGAGCAAGTCCAGGAGCTCCAGGCCAGCCTGGGCAGCACAGCGACACACTGTCTCTTAAAAGATAAAAAATATCCATTTGGTACCCAATTTACTTTCTTTTATAATGCTGGTCCCTACTCAACATCCCTGTTTCTATTATATGACCCCAGTGACCATGCTTTTAACCACTATGCAATAATTCTGCCCATTTACTTGTCACAATCACCCCCATGAGGTCATAACAATTATTTATTACCAGTTTACCCATGAGTTCCTGAAGCTCAGAGAAGTAACTCAGCTTCAGTGAGTACATCAGCTCACTGATGATTACAGTCAGTAAGCTGGGGTGTCGAGAGTCACAATGTTTTTCTGCCCCATCCCCCACATTAGGTTACCTCTCCACAGCATTTTGCTCCCATTTGAGAAACGAAACCACATTGGCAGCCATTTCCAAAAGGCAGGAAAAAGGCTGTACGTGGTAATAATACTAAGAGACTCATGGGAAGAGCTTGGAAGCAGCAAAAAGTTCATAACCCAAACAGAATCACAAATGTGCACCTGACAATCTAACTTCTTGAATCAAGTCCACTTACTCTCTCCTGGGGCAGTCTCACATTGCTCTGTGCTATTTTAGGTGGGCCTCTACAATTTCCTGAACCACCTAGAGTCCTTAGAATTCAGTATCTGAGGCATTCTTAGAGAACACTGAAACTAATTTCCTAGAAAGAGAAAAGTATCAAGCCGTTAATCATGCCAGATCTGCAAAACAGACTGCAAGCTCCTTTAGGACAAGATCATACCTGCTGCTTATTGAGTGACTATACCTGAGTTCAGTAATTCTTCAAATGAATCAATCAAGAATAGTCCACACATTCCTAACGGAGTGATGAGTTAAAAAATCATATGCAGTAACTTCTTCAAAGTCTGGGAGCACTATACCCTAAATGCTTATGAGTGGGTCAAAGGATGCCCCTTTTCCTGATTTGAGGATGGGTTTCTAAGAATTTGTAGAATAAGCTGATATGAATCAATCCAAAGCAAAAGTCATTCAACACATAGTATGTGGCAAATTTTACCCTTACTTGTGTAACCACAGCAAGATTATCTTCACAGGGCTTCTGGATTTTCCAGTGAAGAAAAATAGAACAATAAATGAGTTTATTTCTACATTAGTAAATCCCATCTCATAAAATTCAGAGGTCTTGAAAAGTACCATTCCTCTAAGTTAAGATTACTAAGAATTGATTGGTTTCACACAGTACAGTAATGATAAACACCAAACTCAGCCTGGTGATTACCTCGAAAGAGAGTAAAAGGTGATTAGGGAGGGGTAAACAGAGGGACTTTACCTCAATCTGCACTGTAATTCTTTTTTTTTTTTTTTGAGACGGAGTTTCACTCATGTTACCCAGGCTGGAGTGCAATGGCGCGACCTCGGCTCACTGCAACCTCCGCCTCCTGGGTTCAGGCAATTCTCCTGCCTCAGCCTCC